CATACTGCTTAAAATTATCAATCCTACAAGTATTAAAACTGCTAGGAGAGTTTGTAACTTTTTGAAAAAGTGCTTTGATATTAGGAAAGAAAACCTTCAACAAACCTGATATGCTTTCTTTGATATTTTATTTTATTTATGTTAATTGTTGTATTCATGACTATATGCCAATGTATGATGGTGTTGTCAATAAATGAATTGATTGATTAAACTGTTGTTAAATTGTTTGTACAAATGTTGAAACTTAACATACATCTTCCACGTTTTTTTTTTTTTTTTTTTTTTTTTGTTTTTTTTTTTTTTTACAAATCTAGCAAGAATGTGTAAGAACAAACGTGAAGATTATTTGTATTTTCTATAAATAAAAATAGGAGGGATAACTCTGATGTCAACAATCGATGTAACAGGGGTACCAGACAGGGACATTCATTATTTTAATTGCGTACTTTTTCACATTTCAGCTTCATTTTCTCCGGGATTATAAAAGACATATTTTATAACCAAATAAAAAAAAACTTATAATCGTCATTATAATTGTGAATTTTTAAATTAAAAAAATATTGTTGTACTTTGGGAATAAGGTTAATGTAGAAAAAGGAAGAACAAAGAAAAAAAAAAGAAAACTGCAAAATTGAACAGACTTTAATTTTTTTTGAAATCTCTTATCTATAACTTTTTTTTTTTTTGCATGAAATAATTTCATGACGAATTGCATTAAAAAAAATAATAAACAGGTAAAGCGTCTACTTTATAATCAATTCATGATTAAATAAATTAAAATTTAAAAATGTTGTTTTGTCTTATATTCTTGTTGCACAGACACTTCAATTTAGAGAAATTAAAACAAGCAAAAAACATCCGAATGAAAAAAAAAATGTTCTTGATGTTCTAACTTTAATAGAGCTGGTCAAGCAAATCTGCTGAGAGAGAGAGAGAGAGAGAGAGAGGATGTATTGGGTAGATAAAAATATTTATATTGAATCTATTTAACTAATATTGAGAAATGTGAAACTCTATTGAAAAAGATGAGTTTTCAAAACAAATGAAATAATAAATGAAAGAAATTATCATTTTTGTTCTCTAAACTATATATACATGTAAAACTATTTATTTTCAAGGTCTCCAAGTTTAATATACATGTAACTCTTTGGTACTTACATGTTTTTTTTTCATACGGAGTTCAATTGTTTTAAGCATTATCTGCAAATTAATTCTTTAAGCCATGCCGAACTTTGTCTTTCATAAAAGCTGGATCAGCATTGAATGTCTCTTAACAGATCAATTATCATGCTAAAAACACAATCATCACTGAAGCACCATGCAGGCACGTTGCATCGTTTTTGAGAAAGGGGGGGGGGGCGCGGGGCAGGCAGAGATTTTTTTTTTTACTTCCCCGAAAATGTTGACAAGCAAAAAAAAAAAAGGTTAAAGTTGCACAAAGTCGAAAATCGTATTTCGTGGGGAGGGGGGGGGGAGTGAAGGGTCAGGCCCCCCTGCCTGTTGCTACATGTACGTCCCTGGGCACAGGACCAGAATGGAATTTATACTATTTAAAACTCACATTATAGAATAAAATTAGAAAACAACATTGGAATGAAGGGGATTTTTAATTAGGTCATAAATAATATGATGATTTTCTGAGATGTTTACATCCCTACAAAAATCTGACATTTCAAAGCTCAGCTAGTTCACAGACAATTGTCAGGAAATATATTATACAAAGAGTCATATTCAACTGACTGTATATTTAGGCATAAACAATTACATGTTATTAATCTTTAACCCACCCCTACCCCAACAAAAGCTATACATATAAACCGTAAATGGCATCTTTAATTTAATTCTATGGGAATGCTAGCAGCTTCTAAAACCCTCCATTTCATAAAATAAAACCAGATTGTTTTAATTTTAGGGTATCATTATATACATGATTAACAATACTGAATTCATAGCAATTTAGTTCCAGGCTGATCAGTGTTTATGATCGCTGTGCGATTTTGAAAATGGCAATTCTCAGAATTAAAGGTACAAATATAAAATGAAGAATAATAGGCAGCATTATTTCAAACCTAAATGAAAAAAGTGAATCTGCGAGTTGTAGGGTTAATGGTACTGGGTGCACCTAAAACTTTTGAAGTAAAAAAAAAATTTTTTTTTTTCATTTATTTTAACTCGTGTTCACAAGAATTGTAAGTTTCTGCCATTTAGATTTTTTACACCCCCTCCTTCACCATCATACACATAATCCTACAAATGTTAATCCTGGGTTTATCTATTGTGTAAATGATTGCGGATTATAACTTTTTCATTTGTTTGTAAAATTTCCACCTTAATATTAAAATATTTTTACTGCTAGACTGAAATATATTTCGTGTATCCTTTATATTTTCAAAAATGCAGTGTCATTATTGACCCAATGCAGACAGACAACCTTATAGATGCAGTGAATCAACCCGAATTTCCTTTTTATTTACTGTCTAATATGTATCGTAATTTACAAGTTACATGTACCACGCTTCACAATTTTTCTGTCTTTATATAAAATTTAAAAAGAAAGAACAATCAAATAAATTTTCACTTCGCAGTAGCATTTAGGTAGCGTAATGTTGTAATTAAAAACAAAATAATTTTCACATATATGGTTACTTAAGATATATCGTTTATGCTGAAATCTTGACCTATCGAGAGCAACGTTTAAATCAAAATAATTTTCAAATGAATTCTACAGGCTTATCAAATGACTCTTGCATGGATTACCAGTAAACATTTTGTTTGAGAAAATAATTGTTAAAAAAAATGAATGGATGTTAGCCCGCTGTTCAGGTTTCCCCCTGGTGTAATAAGAAAAGTGAAATGTAAAACAAACACTCACTGATGAATCCATAATACTGTATCACTATTTAAAAAATTATTAATAATTAAAAGAGACAATGAGATAAAAATAATGTGCATGGAAAAATATCAAATATTACACAACTATTAATCACCGTAGTAAAATTACAGAAGAAAATCATTTAAAGTTCACTCTGAAAACGTTTGACGTTGTTGAAAAACATGACGCCATTATTAACCTGTTAAAGAATATTTGATAAAAATGAAGAAAAAACCTACTTAGAGTAGACGTCAGGACCATAAAAATTCATATTTGACAACTTCTAACCTTACACTATCAGAATCCGTGAAAAACTCAAAATGCATAAAAATTGCCATAAGGACCCTTTTCACATGGGCGCAATCAATTATTATTTCACGCTTTGTCTATTTGAACACAACATATTATCCATGTATAATTTTCAAATCTTTAATCACCTCAGATTTAGTTTAAATAGTATGATAGATGGTTTACATGGTGCCGTTTAATTACTTCGTAAAAGGATTCTTTAGTATATTTCTTAAACAATCCATTCTGTCAAATTCTGCCCTTTTCATATTTAGCCCTACGTCTCTCTATCTCTCACTTTTTTTTTACCTCTTTCTCTCTCTCTTTGTACTACTTACAATCACCGCTGGCTTAGATCCTGGTATGAATATGTTTTCTAAAATGAAAGAACAAAATCTATACTTGTAATTCGATAAACTTTGCCAATAAACTCCGACGGCTGCACAAGATTTCTTACTCTCTTCTCTAGAAAGACATTGATAGGTATAATATGATATCCATAAACTATATCCAGATTCTATTAGCACATTAATTGTCGTAGGTTTAATGAAAAAATTTATACTTTCATTTTCGGTAAGCAGCCTCGTTCAAAAGTAAAACATACACACTGTATGTATTGTCAGTCCGTGCAGTTGTGGTGACAACATCATTTAACAGTTGAACGCTCCTGGTGAATCGTAAGCATCAACAATAACAGAACTCGTGCCCTGTTTACAAAAACTATGTACATTTCATGGGTGCGATTAATTTGCTAAACTCTGCACACAGTACTTAGCGCGGAATGACGATACTTATGAAGGGATTGTGCTTTCTAACATTTCTACTCTGAATATAATTGTTTTTCTGGATTAAATTTCTAATATTTTTTTATTAATTCACAACAAGATTTCCACTTTTCCTAAGTATTAGGAATAAAAGTAAAATTTGTGAGAGCAAGGATTTGTCAATCAAACCTATTTAAAGATTTGAACTTTCAATAACTTTAAGATGGAATAAAATTTTTAATATTTTTGTGCGAAATGCTATTGAATAATTATGTAATTCTTGATGTTGTACATAAAGTAAAACTATCAACTTCAAATCTGTGTTCATGCACCTTTAACATTAATGATATTGATCTATCAAAAGCTTTTATTGTAAAGCAAAGGTAAACATTCTTTTAAGCAACAATTTACAGAAGAAATATGAATCACAGTTCGCTGGTATATAACACATTTTTTAGGGTTAAAATCTGCCATTACTGATACAAAAGTGTCATAGAAAATGAAATTTAGAGGGAAACGTTGAATGGCACAAATATAAAGTTATCTGGATTGTTAGATAACTAATTTTCCCCTAAAATGGTACAACAATAACTATTTTAAAGTTTATATGTACGAACCTTTTATCTCATCCGAAAGCATTGCATATCTACTGTGCTTCTTCTGTTGAAAAAAAATGATAAAAAAAATAATATTAAACTACATACTGTATCTCTTACCATTTCTTCTACATGTACTTTTTACAATTTTAAAGCTTCAGTATGTTATTAATTAATAATGTTTAACGTTATTAGATATAACATTTATTTCAATTCCATTTTTTCCCCTAAAGCATTTTGATCTATATTACCAATAAACAGAAAAAATTTAAAAAAAAAAAGCGTGTTAGTTTCAAAACGGGAGCATTTGATTTTGGTTATAATTCCTTAATTTTTTTTAATTCCATAATTACATGTACCCTTGATTATCCTCAGCATTTACACATATAATGTGATGTCCAACATCTTTCTTTTGTGGAGACCATCTTATTGATATGAAGGCTGCAGCAGGACTGATGTGGGTTGCGCTTTGGATTCCACATGGTGAGCTAGTTTCCCATCTACTCTTAGAATATCAAATCTTGCCACTTTTCTGCGAATTAATTTTTTATGCTTAAATTTTTGCTTTGTAGATACAGAATAAATTCCTCCCAATCACTTTAAGGTCAAGATCTAGTAAATGAATTTATAATAACTTTTTCAGTGCTAAATCCATTATGACGTCATAATCACTTTAAACTTTTTTTTCCCGTACTTTAGGGCTCTAATAGAATTACGTAAAAAATAAAGTATTTCCATGGAATTCAATTTGAAATCAGATAAAAAGTAGTCCCATACCTATCTTAAATTTGACATTTTTTTAAAAGTAGAGACTAAAACATATAAATTACCGTTTTCTGAAAATCTGTTGGAAATTTGGATACATTTTCTTTGCCTGATATGGAAAAAAACTCCCATTTTCAATACTGGTTTTCTTAATTTTTCATTAAAATACAGTCTAAACTATGGTTTTTCATCTTGTTTTTCTGCAAATTATGCCCCGAAACATATATTTTGACCAAGCTAATATTATAAAGCATCATTAAAGGAATTAATTTCTTAAATTTGAAAAATCTGTAATTCCATTATGATCTTGACCTTAATGTCTTTTTCTGACCTAGAAATTTTAAAAGTACAAACGACTACCAGAAAGCAGGTTGCTTTGCCAAAGAAAACTTGCCTTTTCTAGATTTCTTTTCCAATAGATATCTAAATTTCAATTTTGAGTAACTTGGTACATGTACCTTTTAGTTATTTTACTATTAAACATTTCAGTCATTTGCGTATAATGTGGTTAACAATGTTTATAAGGTAATGTGACTTTGTAAATTAAGTACAAATTGAAATGCTTTAAATTTTTTGATCCCCGTTTGGTCCCCGGGGATCCGGGTTAGAATAGGTCCTCAGTACCCCTTGCTTGTCGTAAAAGGCGACTAAATGGGGCGGTCCTTCGGATGAGACCGTATAAACCGAGGCCCCGGTCACAGCAGGTGTGGCACGATAAAAATCCATCCCTGCTAAAAGGCCGTAATGCCGAGCATAGGCCTAAATTTGCAGCCCATCACCGGCAATGGTGACGTCTCCATATCAGTGAAATATTCTGGAGAGGGACGTTAAACAGTATGCATTCAATCAATCAATCCCATGTATCTGACATCCGGGTTTTAAAATAATTTTTTGAATTATTATACAACTGAAAACAGGGATCTTACACGTATGTCTATCAATTAGTACAAAACCGCGAAGAGAAAAAAAAGTTCTCTTCGTTAAAGAGTAGCGATCACTTAATCCCACTTCAGGAATGGAACATTGAGTCCTATAAATTGAGGTCCCCGTATGTGCTGGCACAGAACGACACCTCGGTTCAGCATGGCTATGAGTGCCAAGTATAGGTTCCGGTGTCTCAATATGGTGTAAAATTTTCGAAGGGGCCCATCCCAAAAAGCAAACTATAATTTTGTTTCCAATTTCTTTCCTCCTTGCAATTGATTAACCCATCTCCTGTCAATGAACAAAATGGACAGTCTCACAAATTTTTCCAAAATCTCACCCCTAAAAAAATGCAGCACATTTTACCAGATGATTGTTTTCAGAAGTGTTGGGCAATAATCTTAAACTATTTATATAATCACAATAGTTCATGTGTTGCCTTTAGCATTGCACGATTTTTAGAGACTATGTCTTTATCTGTATATTGTACAAGTTGAAAGGTATAAGTTTTAATGGTCAATGCCATATTTCAAAGCTACAGCAATGACAAAGTCATTGATTGACAGATGATTAACATCTCATGCAAGATTATTATAGTTTGCACTAAGTGTAAAGTTTCACGTTACGTCACGATCTTGTTGACAGCTGCGCTCAAGGTAAATTGTACACGCCTCCTAACCGCAAGCTTTACGACTGGAACTTTCTTCTTATCCCTGATTGGTTGCTCGTGCAACAGACTATTTCCAGTGTCAATGTTGATAATTTGAGTTGACCAATCACGTGAATTGTTTACGCTGGATGCATCCTACGAACAAGATCGTGACGTAACGTAAAACTTTACTCTTAACTGCAAACTATATTTCTCTCATCTGAGACGTCACTGTATATCCGTGAACGGCTTTAAAGATCTTTTACTCATAGTTATTGTACAGTGATAGTATACGAACCCCGGATGTCCAAGGTCCCTCCAAAAAGCAATGATTTCGATAGCTTTGAAAACGTACAAACCTGCCAATCGAGGCTTTTGCATACACCTTTACATTAAAATCCCCACCCACGTAAATCGTATACTGCATGTTGTTCATAGGAGTCGGTGGAATAAACTCAGGTGGGTCTGTCCTCCCAGTTATTTTAAAAAAACATCTACAATTTATTTTATTAATTAATAACATATTTAGCCTTAATAAGGAATACTATGGATATAGCATTATGTTGGTACATTAATATTTGTATTTAATTAAATAGAGGCTGCGCTCTATATTAAATATCGAAAAACAGCTTTAAAAATTGGCCGGTTTTGTAGACTTTTTCAGAATATAAGGAAATTGACACATTTCCTAACGTGATCATACATTGACTTGCCAGAAAATTACGTCTTCTTGTTAAATACGCTATCACTACACATCTAAGTGATATTTAATGATTTTTTTTCTTAAACTGAGCAGTTTCGGTTTATCATAAATTCACTTGGCCAATAAGGCCATTTCGGTCGCTATTTAATCGTTATACGTACTAAAGTTACAACTCTTCCAATGACGTTAATGTACGGCAGAAATGTTTTGCTTTGCGTTGACATGATCGTTTTGCTGTAGTCTTTCACAGTTACTGGTACTCCAAACGTATCGCCTTCCTTGAAATATCCTGGGTCTGCTTCAATTTCCATGACACATTTCTGATTTTTTTAATTAAATAAAAAAAATCTCTAAGATATCTCTTTAAACCTTAATATTCAGTCTAAGATACATGCAACATGCCAAAATTTGAAATGGGCAAAGGAACATATTCTAGCAATAGATAAATAATTAATCAAACATCAATATTGCTTGATTGGAACCATTGAAACAATCTTAATTTAATAAAGGGCGGTAGCATATTTATATGCTGATGATTGCAAATATACTGGAAAACTTACCATTCGATCAATAGCTAAGAATTTCCTTGTTTCTAAATCGATTAAAAGCCGTCCAAAGCCTAAAGCCTCGATATAACGAGCCCGGAGACAACGCACTACATCACCGTCATTGTCGATGGAGGGTAAATGTATTGTGTATCTCTTTCCTAGCTCTAAACTTTTGATGAAATAAAATAATTTATTAT